TGACTGATATGACTTCTTGGCAAGTAAAATTTACGATTTATGCAGAATTTTGGGTAGATCTTTATTTTTTCAAATATAATCCTTTTTGAGTTTTAGTCTGTTTTGTAGTGTAATCTATCACAATTTGATAGCATACTTGCAGAAAATCTGCTGAATCCTGGGCCATTCATTTAGTGGACATATTTTGCATTTACAAATGTGTTTCAGATAACTTATTTACTCCTTGTTTTATGCTGACAAATCTTTCTCACTAGCATTTTAGCCTCTACATGGGAAATAATATGAGCCTTTCCTAAGCAAGTTTTTGTGGTGATGGCAGAAGACATTGTAGTAAACAGTGAGGAAAGCAGAAAAAGTTTACAATATATTCAGTGTTCAGCATGAATCCTTCACTGGTCATTCTAGCAGCAGTCAATATGCATTCACTATTTATTATGCCCCAGTCAGCAACAATTCATTTCACAGTCTGTGGTAGCAGGAATATCAAGATCAAGGAGAGTGGCTTATTACAAATATGAAATGCCCAGTGTAAATTTAGTTTATTAATTGTGTTTATAAATAGATGGCTCTACAAGTACTTAGTCAGCAGAGGCTCAGTTACTAGTCCATGTATATATATATATATATATATATATATATATATATATGTATATATATGTATATATATGTATATATATGTATATATATGTATATATATGTATATATATGTATATATATGTATATATATGTATATATATGTATATATATGTATATATATGTATATATATGTATATATATGTATATATATGTATATATATGTATATATATGTATATATATGTATATATATGTATATATATGTATATATATGTATATATATGTATATATATGTATATATATGTATATATATGTATATATATGTATATATATGTATATATATGTATATATATGTATATATATGTATATATATGTATATATATGTATATATATGTATATATATGTATATATATGTATATATATGTATATATATGTATATATATGTATATATATGTATATATATGTATATATATGTATATGTATGTATATGTATATGTATATGTATATGTATATGTATATGTATATGTATATGTATATGTATATGTATATGTATATGTATATGTATATGTATATGTATATATATATATATATATATATATATATATATATATATATATATATATATATATATATATATATATATTGTATTAATTAGATTGTAATAATTTAATGTCAGTAATATTAAACCCAACATTGCTATTAGCCTATCCTTGATGGTTCCCTTGGAGTGCCATACACCCCCCTTTCCAGGTGGTGTCAGTAGCAGCAAGAGACCCACTCATGAGTCACACACTGCTGACAACCCAATCAGATCATAAGCTCTGATTTTGCACCCTTTTTGTAGCCATGGGAGTATATTGAAGAAAATGCTTTTGAGAGACAAACACAATGTTTTGCGAGCTATTAACCCAATGGTGCCGGGTGAAGAAAACAAAAGAAAAAACTCTACACTCTGGCAAACAAAGGCGGCACGCCGACTTTGAGCGCGTGAGTAGGGTACATCAGCCCGAATCACTGGCTCGCCGTGCTTTGGCGCGCCGCCGCGGTGTACAGCCGCACGCCAGCTTTCGAGCGGTTTTTACACCTATTGGCGTCACCCAGCATTAAGGGGTTAAAGCTAATATTCAATCTCTTGTTGTAATGGTTGGAATTTTTGGTATTGAATCCAGATTCTAATAATACCAAGTTTGTTACCCTCAGTAACACATTTGCCAAGATATTGTGAGGGTTAATCAGAGTTTTTATGAAAAAATATTCATTTATTTTTTCTGAGCAGCCTATCACTGGGCTGCATGCCAAACCTTGAAGCACTAGTAGGTGATGATACCCAGGTTACTGTGTAGGCAGTAACTTCTGGTGTTCTTTTAGTGACCCTTCCTTGAACACCAATTGCCTCTCCTCCTCCTGCTATCAGGATATCTGTGACAATGCTGTTGCAGGACCCACCTCTCAGGTGGTCTTGCTGCTGTCTGGTTCCTGATGGTGTAGGCTCTGGCTCTAAAGTCCATCTGGAGAGGCTCACTCAGAATGTCTTTTGGGAATCCTCCCTGCCCAGGGCATGATGGATGGTCCAGGCATTGATGACGGCCATGTTGAAGAGGAAGATCTTGTACTAAACCATGGTCTGGTAAGCCTCGCCCATCTGATCACCAATGTTGACGTCTTTCATGCTGATGATATATTCACTACCACCGACTGCTTATGCCCATCCATTGCAACGGTATGGACAGTCAACAGTATGGTGCCAGTGTTGCAAGGGTAGCAATCCCATCTTCGTACTGTGCTAGTCAATATCACCCTTTCTCCTTACACTCAAGTCCTTAGGTGTGAATCTCCTGTTCATCTTTTCCTACTGCATTCGTCCCTTGGGCCTGCAACAGATGAGATATGTTTGCAAATAACTGATATCCAAGGTCAAGAAAGTTGCCAGTCTTTATCAACTGCATCACTGATTGTGTGGATGAGGGCATGTTGCCATGGTCCAGCTCATTGAAACCTTGAAACAGGAGGTGTACTTTGCTGAGCTGGTACTGCCACAGAGCTTGTTGACCTTCAACCTGGATGTTGGCATCTTGCTGGAAATTGCCCTTGGAACTTCCAGAATGACTTGTCTGAAGGCCATGACTAGTCAGAACTCTAACATCCTGTCTTCCAAGAGTGGAGCTCCTCTTTCCACGTGAGTGAAGTGGAGGCGAGTTGTCATCTGGTCAGACCTACCGCCTTCATTTTCTCTCTCTCTCTCTCTATCTCTCTCTCTCTCTCTCTCTCTCTCTCTCTCTCTCTCTCTCTCTCTCTCTCTCTCTCTCTCTCTCTCTCTCTCTCTCTCTCTCTCTCTCTCTCTCTCTCTCTGTCTCTCTCATCACTGGGATGCCCATTAACCCTTTACAGACTGGTCACGTGTACAAGCATCATAACATACCACTTGGTCTGCAGGGTACAGTTGTGCACTCGGTGACACGCCAGAGCACTTTTTTTTTTTTTTCCAATTTTTGTAATACAACCAGCACTGCTGGTCACGGCATCCAGGAGTAGGATAGCATCTTCCTTGGACCCAGCACTCGTCCAGTCAGGACATACAGACAACACATCCCACACTCATTTACCGATGGGAATAATGCAAAAGCCCCTTCCTAAATGCCAAATGAGTCCATCAAGAGCTTTGTGCACTCATGGTGAGTTATTTCCATCACAGGCCTTCAGCCAAAATTCTCATGACAGTAAGCTCCCACCCACAGCCAAATTTTCCCATGGCATATTCACATCACCTACCCCTTAACCCCTTCCTGATAGGACATGCCTATAGGTGTGAAAACAAACTGCATGAAGTGTGGTGTGCGGCTGTATGCTATGAAGGCGCACCAAAGCGCAGCGAGCCAGTCATTTGGCTTGGTGTACCGGACTCCCGTGCTCAAAGTCAGCGCGCCGCCATTGATCACCAGAGTTTTTTTTTTTTTTTTTAAGTTTTCTTAAACCGTCACCATTGGGTTAAACCAAATTTTTTTATGATTTGATGGTCATGTCATCCAGATTGTTGGGGTTAATTAACTCTTGGAGGCTGAATATTTGTGGAGCCATCTTTGTGTAAATGCATTTCATAGAACAAACTACAGTAGACTACATGTTCGTTGTGGCATTGTGTTGATTGAAACACAATGATGTTATATGGGTATGTTGTTTTGGCAAACTAAATTAAGAAAAATAAGAGTGCAGCAATCTTTAAATGTTTGTTAAATTTGCTTTTCTTCTTAGGGCAAATAACCCTTGTTTTGAACTTAAAATATTATAGAATTTATGCTCATTTTCTATATTTCTTTAATCTTTTTTAGTTTTATCTCCGTTACAAACTTCTGATTTTCTTTGTGTGGGAAATTGTCCTTTCAAGAGGTCTGAATGATAAGACTGGTAAGACACCAAGATGTCTTTCTCATATCTTATACAATATCACTGCAGTTTACCCATTTGATAATAGATACTGGAACACTCCTCACTCTATGCTAGAACACTATGCTAGACTGTTGTTGGTCAAGGAAATAAATCTAAGGTAGTGATCAGTAAATACATCTGGACTTGCATTTTTGTTACATCATTGTCAAGAATAGAATACTTTTATTTTAAACCATATGATATCTAATGATTATTAGTTACTGGTCTGAAAGCTTGTCCAAAAGATATTCACTCTGGGGAGAAAATGATGAACTGGGTTACAGAGTTTCAGTACTTCATTCCTATTCTTGCATTTGTTTGAATACAAATAAGGCATTTTCCCTCTTCCTTTTTGTAATGGTTATAGTGATTTTTTGACTACCAGTTTTCCCCTTTTTATTATATATTAGAACAAAAATTTGATCAACTAGTAGTAAAGATTCCCTTATTCATTAAAGAATTCTTAACCTCTTATAGCTGGGCACACCTATAGCTGTCATGAAAAACTAACACTTGTGAGTCGAACAGGAAGTTCTGCTAAGCATAGCAGACTGTCTGGCCAAAAGACTAGACAGTTGCTAGAAGTCACTGAAATGAGTGACACCCAGAAATTTCTGGTACCATCATTGTAGGGTTAAGAATAGAGATAAAATCTGTGGCCTTTGCACATGTATCTGATTCATGAACTAGACTGATAAACTCTTTTTGCAGAATAAATAAGAAATAATTTTGTTTTCAGAAATCTAGCCTTAGGTATTGGTATTCAGAATTTCCCTGAAGGCATGGCAGTTAGTCTACCACTAAGAGGAGCTGGGCATCCTGTGTGGTGGGCATTTTGGTATGTACTGCATATAGTTTTATGTGCTTATCTTTGTGATTATGAGAGAGGTTGGATGTCACTGTATAAAAAAAAGGAAATACTACCTTTAGAAGTTATTTTCTAAAAGTACCTAGTTTGTGAAGAGCAATCATGTCATTATATAGTTTCATTGCATTGGATAAGTTAGTATATCTATTCCTTTATAAGCAACAGTTTTAAACTAAATTTTGAATTGTTAAGAAAAAAAATATCAATAGGTGTGAGAAAACATTTGATCCTTAATTTCAAATATGCATTGAGATTTAGAGATATGGAAAATTAGAAGAGATACAAGGGGAAAATTACCTGTGTATGTAAATAGCAATGGCCTAAAAAAGCCATTACTGTAAATTCCAAATGAAAAGTTGTCTTTATGAATGGATTTTTCTTGGAAAGAATTATTTTTTTTAGATAAATGAAAGTTACCAGATGACATAAGTTAAATCAAGGAAAGAAATTAAATTTATTGTTTGCTATTTAGTGACTGGTAATTCTAGAATCTTTATATTTGTTTCTTTCAGTAAAGTACACAGAGAGTTCTTTTGCAGTGTATAGCTTGTTAAAAATCAAGTTTGTTTGGAAGGGAATATATTTTTTTTCTATATTCTAAAGAAAAACACCATTAGACAAGAGAAACACATCTATCCTTACAACGATGTTCATGCAATATTTTACAGGTATGGTCAACTAAGTGGGATGGTTGAACCAATAGCAGGTGTTCTTGGAGCTATTGCAGTGTCAGTGTGTGAGCCAGTGTTACCTTATGCTCTGGCATTTGCAGCAGGGGCCATGCTATTTGTTGTAGTAGATGACATTATACCAGAAGCACAAACTGGGTAAGTATTCCCTTAGTGTTGGGAGATATTTTGTGTTTGTATAAATATGTTTTGATAAATTAATTAGACAAAGATATATTTGTGTGTGTGTGTGTGTGTGTGTGTGTGTGTGTGTGTGTGTGTGTGTGTGTGTGTGTGTGTGTGTGTGTGTGTGTGTGTGTGTGTGTGTGTGTATATGTGTGTGTATATGTGTGTGTGTGTGTGTGTGTGTGTATATATATATATATATATATATATATATATATATATATATATATATATATATATATATATATATATATATATATATATATATATATATATATGTACTATATATATTATATATTACATATATATATGCATTTATTACATCCCTGTGTTGTATGCAAGAAATAAAAGGATGATGGACTTATTCTAGTAATTATGTTTTCATTTCTGCAGTGTTATTCTGTATCTATGGCATAGTGGATATGCCAGGATATTTGTAAAGGCTGTTAGTGTATTGCATTTTATATAGTATTCATAGGAAATATTCTTGTTAATATTGTAATGAATTATGATATTTCAGAAGAGAAATTAATCATAACTCATACTTTCAGAGGGAACAGCAGACTAGCTTCAGGATGGTACATTATTGGCTTCATTGTTATGATGGCCCTAGATGTTGCATTAGGGTAAAACCATTGTAATTTTATAATATTTCTAGTTAACTGACATCTACAGCCCAAGGTTGTTTGTAAACTTGTAAACAGTATCCATCAGACGCACAAAGATTTTTTTTTTCTAGAAGTGCTTATATTTTATCTACCACTAATGATTATTAGTTATCTGAAAAGTAAGACAAATCATAGCCAAAAATCTGTTCATGGAGTAAATATTGGACAAATTTAAATCATCACATGAGAATGCTTGGATTATAAAGAATGATTATTGGTAAATGAGAAATAATATTGTTGGGTGTTATATTTGATCTAAAGTAATTTATGTATGACCAATATTCCAGATTTTTTGGCATTGTGTGGTGTATTTTTCTTTAGTTATTGAATGTCTGTGTCATGTTTTGCTTTCTCAGACAGGGTAATATTTTTGTTAAGATGGATTAGTTTTTCCTGTTTTCTTGTTTTTACATTTTATAAATGTAAGGAGTTACTTTAAAATGAAAAAATATTCTTGCATATGTAAGCTGATTTTCTTTCTCAGTGTAATATATATATAGACTACATATATAATTATTATTATTTCTCCAGTTGTTATATCGTACCACTATTAGTACAAGATTATGATAAAAACAAATTGGGAAAGTCTATTGATTAAAGTGACTGCTTTGGTTGTGACTTGATTATTACTGTTATTAAGTAACATGATTATTCCTCTTCATATAGTGAGAATGGAGTCACTCTGTAAAGTACTCTCAGTTTTTTATTTTTTATATTTTCTTAGTTATTCATTTGGAGTCCGAGAGATAAGCATCCAATACTTGCTGCTGCCTTTTTCATGTGATGTTCATGTGTGCACAAATTTTGGATCATGTCTATGGAGATGTACATGTGTGTTTCCATTGGTTGTCAAAAATGGTTCCATTTTTGTCTCTTTGTGTTTGAGAAGTACTCCTGTAAGCATTACAGGTTTTCATTACTGTATATTAAATTGTACTTTGTGATTGAGCTGGACCTAAAGTTGTTGCACAGCATTTCGTGTTTCATTTGTTTTGGAAGATTTTCTTTTTCTAATTAAAACATTACTTTTGGTCATTTATTTATGTTTCATACTAAATGCCAGTTTACAATAAGGCACTGTAAAATAAAGCCAATGTCAAGCTGAGGAAAAAATATATATATAGTCTATGGGTGTACCTTTGTTATTTCTGTAAAAAAAAATCAAAATTAGAACCATATCACTATCATACCATCCTGGAGAATCACAAGTGTGGTAAATGTCTTTCAACTTCAAAAAGTAATCATTTTATAATAATTATTATTTTTACATATATGAGTAGAGTATTGATAGGATACTAAAGAATATTGATTTAATTGTTTGGTCAGTTTGTAGGCTTTGAAGGTTGTTATGGAAAGTTGTTTTAAACAATGCCCAATTGCATTTAGTTATGGAGTCGCTTGAAAGCTGTTCTGCTGGACATGTTATTTATTACATAATGCTACATTTTTCTCTCCCTTTTCTTTGAAGTCATTCACGGTCTTACTGAAAGCAAGTTAATGATACCTTTTTAATAGACATATATTTAGGAGATCTTTGTTTGTTGGTGAAGGAAAGTGCTTTGGCTGTAGATTGTGTGTGATTGTATAATTTTCATATTTTGAATTTTGTTATTATTTATTGTTAAGGGTCTTATAATAAAAAGCACAGGGTAGTAGCTTATTTTATATGTTCAAGGAGTAAAGAGGTATAAAGCAGGAGTTAGACAAAACTGCTTCCTCTGAATAAGTGATATATTAAGGATTCTTATGTATTAACCCATTCACGCCGGGCGTCACGTATAGGTGACGGGCCCACTGTGAGTTTACTTGTTTGATTGTTTACAGACATAGATGGCTCCACTTGCACTTGTACTGCCTGTCTCGTCTGTTTACCCTTTTCTTTAATTTACGAAATTATTTTGCGTTATCTTATTTTGCTGTTACTAATGTTTATAACATTATAGTAATTATGATGTTTATAATAAAAATAACCATCAATATTCATAGCACTAGTAAAAATACATTTTCCCGCCGAATGAAATCAGGTAAAGCAGAGCCATCTAGTGTAGAGAAATTTCATTAAAAAATATAAAAAATGAGCACAGCATTTCCCCCATTTTTTGTTCATTTTTACCCGGCGCAAATGGGTTAAAACCTTAAGTCCAAGATTCTTTGAGCATTTACATTTTTAAGAATTATGATATGATGATTATACTTAATAGCATTTCATGATTTGCTTGATCGGTTCTTATCTTGAGTGAATGAGCATTTCATTATTTTGAGAAATGTATATTTTTGTACTCCTTTTTCTTCTAATAAATCCAAGAAAAATGCCTTGTTTAAGAATTATATTATTGAAAAATTGGTTAGGGTTGTCACAAGACTTAATAACAGGGTTGATATCCAACTTCATTAACCTCTTAGATCCGGTTCCGTCATGGCAATCACATAACCAAAAATCCAGGCATTAGGCTTACATGAGCAGCTGCTCTGCTGAGTGTGCTTGTAGGCCAGGCGCACTCAGCAGAACGTGAGTTTGTGGTGACAAGACTCTATGCCCCCTATTTGCAATGTTATTTCCTCTTTTTATGCATAAGCATGGTTAACTTCTTTGCCATTTCCAGTGTCCACAGTTGCCATTTGGTTTGTATTATTCAGATGGTTATAGAGTGTTTTCTTTGCATATCATCTCTCTAGGTAGTCTACAACTCGGTGCAAGAAAAATAAAATATTTAACACTTTGTTATTTGTATGATTTTTATTTATATATATACTAGATATATATTGTCCAATTTCATTCATAGCAAATTTTCATAATGTTTATACAATATCCTTTGCTTTTTGTTCATTTTTTTTTTACATAATTTTCAATTTTCCATAATTTTTTTACCCATGTTTAAAAAATGCATAGAAAACCTTGTAGCTCAGAAAACAGCTACATTCATTCTTTTCTGAGCCTGGTGTGACACTGAACATAGACTGCTCTGTAACTGTCTCCCTAGTCCCCTGCCAGACATACAAGAATATAATAGAAAACACCTATTTAGTTTATTTTCCAGGAATTTTATCACAATACATTTTTTAATATTTCAACTGGATGATCCCATTAGGCTGGTTACTGGAGGCCAAAAGATTTTGAGTTTGTTATAATACCTCCTTTTTGTTTTGTAAACATTGTTTGTAAGGCAGTTAATTTTACTATACTTTGTAAGCATCTATTATTTGTTTTATGATAATGACAATATTTCTTATTACTGTATTATGTGTTCATGTTAAGAATGTGCCCATATATTGAGAAGTAAAGTACTGTCTTTTGCTTAAAAATGTTTTAAGATCACAAGAGTGTGATAATTCTATTGTTGTGAGTTATTACTGCTATGCCAATGGATGATAATTTATACAGCAGGATTGGAAAACTGGAAGTTGTAGGGTTGAAACCGATATTAAATCCAAAGGGAAGAATGAGGTTCATATATATTACCCTGGTTTTAAAACCCTTGATGATGTGGACATGACATTCCAGATAATAAGAACCACCAGTGGAATAATGTTAAACATATTGTTTTAAGTATGTAGTTTTTACATATTTCCCTATGTGGAAAATTGCATATCAAATATAATATATTCATATATA